TGCGCAGCTCTCCAGCCACTCCTCCCCAAGAGGAAGTATTTCTCAACTAAATAAAAAATAACAATACTCGTGTATGTCACTAAAGTTTTGAAAAGACAAATGCAATCAAGATTATGAGGTCACTCAGTTATTCATTGGGGGATGCATACATCCTAACAGGTTTGTGATTTGTATTAGAAAAAACTTACACCGTGCTTATCAGTCTTTCCCACTCTCAAAAAGAGGTAACTGACCACCAGTAAAAAATTCATTTCCACATTTTTCCCTCATTCCAAATCAACTTTTTATTGCTATGTAATCCTAATCTTAATAAGCAGTTCTAGAGGCAAAAATTAATAGTGCAGAAGATTAAGGTCACATTGAGTGTGAGAGAGGAAAAGAGGGAATAAAAAATTACGCATAAACCCCCTGTATTTCAAGCAAAGTTCCAGGAATGCCAAGTAGACAGCATTCCTTTCCAGCATCCCATTGTTAGCCATTCTTATGCTGAATACAGTAGTATTAATCTTATAAAGACAACTTACACATGGAACAGAAAATCTCTTATTTTTTTCAAAATTCAGTAGTCATTAAAAAAGGAATGACCTACATATAGCTGAACCCACTGCCATGAAAATCAGCGTTAGTTTTGTCATTGCCTTCACAGGCAGCACTGGCACCACTGCTAATCTCAGAGATACCGGCAATCATTCAAGAAACTATACAACTAAACATTTATATTTCGTGGAACAAGCCTCTAGAAAAAACACAGACCTCTGTGCAGCTGGCTCAGGGCATCTATGGATTCTATCTCAATAAAGCAGTTTTCAGCATCACAACTTCAAACAGTATCGTAGGTGTCAGACTTTGACAACTATGAATGTGTATCCTGAATCCACCCCCTCAAATAAACACAAAAGCCAGATATTCCTCTTGAAAAGAATGTCTCAGTGTATTCCAAGAAGATACTACAAGATATTTTGCAAACTGTCCCAGTAACGGCCTTTTTTTGTAACACAGTAAGATACAAGTAGGGAAGAATTCTTCAGCTATTACTAAAATGAATTAAGTTTCTTTAGTTTGAAATTTCTTCTTCCTCCAGATATAGTGGGGCGCCTGCTCTTTGTTAAAAGCCACAGTGTTCTTTATTATCGTTATTATCTATAGAAATTATATCTTTTTTTCTTTATTATCTACAGAAACAGGAGTTACGATTCCCTGGTAATGGCAAAAACAAAATAGTATGCACATTGGGAAGTACAATGCAGATACACTCCAATGTGTCTGCAAGATGTCAACTACAGCCAAATGCTTTTAGCAGTGTTGGTTAAGCACTGGATTCACCATATCAAGGCTCACGCCCATAAAGCCATTCAGGTTTTGCCATTTGAGGCCTTTTGCCTGATACTTTCTAGAAACTGGAGGAAAGTGCAGAGGCATCGACATCGACCGGCACTGGCTCAGGTCTGGCACTGCAGAGGCTTCACTTGGGTAATGGGCAGAGTTCAAAATAGGTACCTTCATTAGTTTGGTAACAAGACGTTTTCCATAAGAAAAAAAAAAAAGTTTCAAACTGGCAGAACATTACCATCTAGAGCTTCTTTTAATTCATCTTTGGTCCAAGCAACTTCTGTCATCAGGAGTCGGAGATAATACATTGCATGCTGGTGAGGCTGTTCAGCCCTGAAGTTGTTAAGCGATCTCATGTACTAAAACAAAATAATTAAGTTCAAATTGTAGAACTCTATTTCTAAACATAAAATATTAAGTCTGTACTCTCAACTTTGTGTACCATCAAAAAGACACATTTCAAATGTCAAGAACATTCTCTCTCTTAGACCTGTTAAAAAATAGTGTTAAATCACCTTAGTAGTAAATGTGGGCTTCTGAGCCTATGGATTAAGCAGTAACCATTAAGATAGTTGAAATGAGCACAAAATCAAACTTCTCCATAAAATTAATGACTGGAAATTAAATTATTGCAGTTAGACCTAAATAAGTATTTAGATCAAGTTGCTCTACTCAGGAAAGATGCATTCTATGATGACTGTCAGGGGGTCGGATAGGGGAATATTGCTAATAGAAAATGTATTTTTCTCCCAGTTGCTTCCCTGGGCTCATCTGGTTAGAAAAATACAGGAGCATCTGGGAAAATCTTTGCATTTTTCTGCCTGGAGAAAGGAGGTATGAGAGAAGAATCAGTGAGCTTCTCCAAAGAAACTCCCTTCTAGTCCTGCTGCATCTTTACAAAATAAGCAAAACCTTTTTCCTCTACCCGAAGAACTGTAAAGTTCAGACTAATAGTTTTGACAAGCTGAGATAATTTCCAGCACAGGAAGCATTTCAGAGCACATGAGTGAGAAACAGTGAGCATGAAATTGCTGAGGACTCATCCTTCTATCTGTTCCAACCAGAAGCTGGCATCTCCCTTATCTGTTAGGTGTAGGCATGAGGGGAAGAACTGTAATCTCCCCATCTGATTTGACTTTTTTGTATTTTGTCCTTGTTTTACATACACAAAAGGCCTACGTAACAAAGTCTATAAAACATTAAAATATGCATAATACAGAGACAAAGTTCAAGCAAACTGTAAAGACAATCAGGGAAACATGTTAAACTAAAAGAAAATAATCCAAACCAGATCATTCAGACTTGTAGGTTGTGGTTTTTTACTTTGACATTTGTCACAACCAGTTAAAACTTTCCAGACAATTTATGTATCTTGGGTACACACAGCCCTAAATAAAATGCTGTTATAATAAATTCACCTCATGTTTGATGTCCACCTGCTTAGAATTTCCTACTAAATGGTAATGATGGCCATGATGTCTGTCTAGGCCAATCACTTGTTCAAAAATCACTAGCAGCAAAGGATTAAAGACAGACCATTGTAAGCATGGAGTGATCTTCCCTGCAGCCCTAGCTCTCTCGTTTACTGCAAACTATTTGCAAGCTTTCTGGGCCAGAAGTCAGCCTGTTCCCCAACACCCGTCTAATCCTTGTGCACTCATTTGTACCTCCACAACAACTCACTGCTGTGAGTGCCAACATCTAATTTGCTCATTTCCTTTGTTTTACCTCTGTCTTGCCCTAAAGAAAGTACATGAAGAACAATTATGTACCTAGTTTGCTTAGGAAATGTAATCACCGTTCGTAATTTTACCTCAGGAGCTAAAATAATCTTACCTATATTCCATATATATAGATCAGTCATTAAATTTAGGCAGTCAGACTTCCAGAAGTCAGTATGTACTTAACCAGCTGGTTGCTTTTGCACCAAAGGATCTTGGCCCAGGAGCAGAGCTCCTCTTCACATATGGGAGAAGAAATGTTGCAAATCTTTTCAACACTTCCCTTCTCCCTTCATCCATTTTCCCCTGCTTTTATGGCTAGACCCCATTGCAGCCTTTCCAAATTGTAAAATGGGACATGAAGTTAAGATCCCTGCCCCCCACCCAAGATTCCTACTCCTGTCAAATCAAGTTGCAACCCCTTGATCAATCATAAGAAAGATTGAGTGAAAGAAGATTCCAGGGCCAGTTAATTTTAAAGGAAGAACGTAATATAAACACTCCAGGGAACTCATGGCCACAAAAAGGACAAAAGAAAAAAAGCTTCTGCAGTCCCAATGAGGAAGAATTTCACTCTGTATTTCCATGGACAATCAGCCCTCAGATTTCATTTCAAGTAAATGCATTCAATTTTACATTACTCCAAAATGTTTCTCATGTAGCTTACCGCTTCCTTGATAATTTCAAATCTTTTTTCATCAATCTCAAAAGTAGCCATTTTCTCAATGATCTTCTTGAGCAAGATATGCTGCTTGTCATTATAACCTTTTACAGAAAGCTATGGAAAAAGCGCATAATTTGCTTTAAATGTGGAAGATAAAAAATAAAACAATTACTAAGTCTTGTATAATTCAATGAACAATACACTTTTCAACACTTACTCTAAATTCAACAACTCTAAATTAACTCGTTCTGAAATAAAAATAACTAACTTGTTAATATAATATTGCGTATTTCCCCAGGAGTTATGAATGCAGAGAATTAATTTAATTTCATGTTGATGTAAAACAATTGTACTGAGAATACAGATTTTTCACGATTACAAGTATTGAGACCAGTCAGTAAACTGTACATTTGGAGGACTGAAATGATTTTACTATAGGTTTCTCACTTCAGTAATGAAATTTAGATTCACAGCCTTCTTAAATATTCTCTACAATTTACTTTTAACCTTTTTTTCATGTTGTATCTTGTTGCTCAAAAAACTATTTTACATAAATTGAAGCACTACTACAAGAAAACGTGTACTGTCAACAACAGCACAATTTATAACCAGGATGGTGCTGGGCTGAAAGACCAAGGTAGTTAGTCTACAATCGTCACGAGGTATTGATCTGATCATATGCATTTTACGCATTTTTTTGAAAGTACACATGAAGTAAACTTGTTCATTTAAAAAAAAATATATGGAAACTTAAAAATTACTATATGATTACATCAAGGTACAGAATGCTCATCTGCTCATCTAGTGAAAAAAGGCATTAGAAGGCCCTGGGGCGGGGGGAGGGGGAACATAAAAATTTGGTATCTGGACACAGGAATTTAATTGGATTTTTGCAGTTTAATTATTAAAACAAAATTTTGGTACACAAACCAACATACAGGTGAATTCCTGCTTTCCAAAGAACTTTTTTTCCTATAGTTTCTGAAACCGAACCATATTTCGAACCATATCCAAACCATGAATTTGAAGAAAAAGCTTTCATATATGTCTTTATGACAAAGGCCGATATCCTAATTTGTGTAAGAACCCAAACTGTTGAACAGTCACCCTGGGTGATTGTTTTCAGTGTAGCATCTGTCCTTGCTTAAAGTATCAACGTTGTACAGTTACACCTATTGACTATAAAACTTCTTACAATATAGAAAAGAATATTGGAAGTTTCCATATATCAAAATAGAGTAAACTGATTTTAATACACAAAAATATAATCTTTACAGTAGAAGAATATAAAGACCCTACACAAAAAAACCTACTATTTAAAACAACTCTAACCTTCTAAAGTGTGACTAAATATGAAGAAAATAACACACACACACACTCTCCATTTTTTGTTTTTCTTTTTTTTTTTTCCTAAAAGGAATTAACTCTGACCATGGAAACATCAGCAAGCTTTGAAACTGAGAACAGATAACCATGTTTGCAGTAAGTTAGGTAAATGCTACCAGGGAATGAGATTTGCATTGAATAAAAAAAAGTAATTGCAGCTCATTCTGTCATATAGAAAATGTAAAGACAATATACAGTACATTCTCTAACTAAGATGCTTCGGCAAGTAATACTTCTACAGGAAATTTCAAAACACACTTTGGTATAAAAAGATGGTTAATAAAAGCTTTTAACAGAACTTCAAAAGAGACTATTAAAATTGCCTATCATAAATCTCACAGGAGAAGCTAAGTAAGAAATAACCATTTACTATAATACAGGTATTTATCAAGTAAGTATTATCAGCACGTTAAACAGATTATAGAACACATGATAAAGACAAACACTAAGAAAAAGCCATAAATATCCAGCATTGCATTCTAATGAACGCATGCACAATCCCATTTCCACAGCTCACTACAGCAGAATTAGAGAATTATAACAAAATCTGTAAAGTTGAGATTCATTCAACAGAAAAGTTAATCTTATTATACAGAAACCAGCAATAGTACTTTCAAGATTACCATGCAAGCAAGTAAAAATGTGAACCAGAATGCAACAAGTGCACTGCACACATGTTCACAAGACACTGCAATCTTAAACAGGTCACTCAGTACTGATTAAAATACACTGTTTTGCTTTGCCTTTAATTCATGAGATAGATGCAAGGAAAAAAACCATTAACCATCTCATTTAGAAATGCAGAATTCAAATGTTTTCTCCAAGCTCAACAACTCCCAAGCTGTTTCATTTCCTCCTGCGTTTTTTTCTTACTTACAAGTATTGCATTCATTCCTGATGCAATGCCATAGATCAAACCTGAGAGGCGTGCTGCATATGTATACTCTTTTAAATCATCCTTCAATAACCTGATAAACAGGTATGTCATGTTGCAATGGAGAGGATCAGCATAAATGTAGCGACTAACAAAAAGAAAAACAAAAGAAATGCTTTGATACCTCAAGCAGTGACAAAGTAATGGATGAAGAAACATGACTGAAGAGTATGTATATGCAGCCTCATGATCAGTAGTTCTTGAACAGGAAAGCTGAAATGTACCATTTATTTAACAGCATGAAAAGGGGGTCTTCTACCCCATCAGTCAGAAGGTTTTTAGTAGATATCTGACAAACTGAAATAAATATGTAAGCTTGGATTAGGGTTGCTTTTTTTTTTTTAAATGGAGGAAGAAGTCTTACAACTAATTAATTTCATGAATGATATAAAAATAAAGAAGAAAATTTGCTTAAATATGAATGGAAAGATTGTTGAAGACTTTGAACAAAATTAAACTTAAAATTCAAATTAAAGAAAGAATGGTTAATAACCAAGATCAAAAGGAGTAACAGCCTTAGACCCATTTTTTAAATAAAAGTCCTTCCATCAAATCAATATAAAAATGTTGATGAGTGGAAGTAGTTTTAAGGCTCTAAGCTTTTCCTTGATTTGGGTACTTACATACATCCCATAGATGGTATTTTGGAGATCATAGTTCAAGCCAGCTAGTTCTGCTGCATATGCATACTCGTTGAGGGAGTCTTTGAGTAGTTCAAGGTACAAATAGGCCATGTTACAATGCAAGGGATCCACGTAAGCAAATGGGCTGGAAGAAAATGTTGAAAGTAAAATATGCAGTTTAAAACTATTTCTCAGTTTCTTTTGGCCTTTTAAGTTTGATCTGAAGGAAACCATATTTACTGCGAGTATGCTGATGGATCCCATTATGAAGGATTCCTATTTTGAAGCCAAATATGAACATACCTGAAAATAATTATTTAGCTTGCTTATGGTTTGAGCAATGCCTAAATATATTAAAGATTACAGAGATATTCTCTTATTTGTGGTCATAAATCAAGACATGTTGTACTTACTTTGGTGCACAGTCAGAATTCACCAGGAGTAAAATAAGCTAAATACACCCTGAATAAGCAACATAATTTAATAGACTGAAATGAAAACCCACATACTGAACGTTAATTTAATTAATACTTACACATTATCAGAAACAAAGTAGTTTCTATTACACAAATTAAGAGATTAGCAATTTGTGGTATGAAAAACCACGCAGTACATGCTAAGCTCAGCTCAGGAAAGAAGTTTGGCATATTCATTTTCATACCACCATAATTTTTTATGTTATCTTTTCCATGGCAACAACTATACAAGCTCTACTGTTGTATTAGAAGCATCTCATCACATACAACACTGTCGCAATTTTCTCAAAAAAAGAAATGCAACTCAAAGACTCAAGCCATGTTTCAGCTGCACTAATTGTTAAATATCTGTGTATTTTAAAGATTTGCAAAGTCAAGATTTATATAAGGCTTGAATTTATTTCTCAAGCTTCTGAAGTGCATTTAAATTCATTATCAATTTCACAGAAATAATCTGCAGTATCTAAAACTATATGGACATGGCTTACAATTTGAAACCACTCCATTTGCATTTATTTTTCCTAAGCAGGCACTAACAGTCATATTCAGAGACATGTTGTTATATATGTTTATGCCTACATAGCATGGCATTTCATAGTGTAAACTAACGTTAATGTAGTAAAACAAAGATCACGTTGCCACAACACACATGCTGATAACTTTAAAATATATTGCAAAAGTATTTTTAAGAAGGTTCCTAGTAGTTTTTATGAAGGCCTTGACTTCTCCTTCCTGTTAGATTAAGGAAAGAAACTCTGGGAAGAGATTTTAAAAATAACTAAATAAATGAAAATCTATTAGAGAAGCAGAGCCTGCTGTACTCTGAAATCTTACCCCAAGATATGCTTTTTTACCGTCACGGGGTTCATTGTTCTGGACTTGGACTTATGTAACTTAAGCAAACAGGTCAGTAAAAACAAAACAAAACAAAACAAAAAAACCACACAACACCCAAACAAAAACCCCAAACCTCTGCTATTTACGTTTCTCCCTACAATAAGAATTTCCACAAACTGAGCAATTTCAATATGCCCTGTGATGCAAATCCAATTAATATTGAATTTTTTAATTAAGACTGAATTCAAAGCAAGATGTAGGTCAACCCTATGTTACCTTAAATTTTCCTCCAAACTCATTATATTCTTTTCCATTTTGATACTGGAATGGAGACTTAAATCAGCTTGAGTGATTACTATGTCCGTATCAGTTACAACTTCTGTCTACTCATTTAGCTGGCAAAGTCCAACAGGGAGTTTTGAAAATAATGAAGACTACTAAATCATTAATGCTCAAGTGAAAAATAACAGAAAACAATTATTATAACACTGTTCTCTGAGTTGCCTTCTATTACTGAGAACTTTGTAAATAAATGCCTATTTCTAATTTACCTTTTTTTGATTGGACTTGAGGAAGCAGAACAACTCAATCACTGATAGCATATCTGAAAAATCTTAAAGTCTAGTCTTTTCCCCTTTGAAGCAGAGCTGTAAGTGACATAGCTGGATTGGATTATCTCATGAGCAACTCAAGTTGCTTGAAATATTTTTTAAACTGCAGGATAGCAAGTATACAGTTAAAAATAATTATTATTGTATTTTTAACATCATCTCTCTAAACCTCGGGAAACTTGAAGAGCAGAGTTTATAACTACCTTTACGAAGTTTTCAAAACAACAGCACATTACATTGTTATTTTGTTTCCTTTTAAAAAAGGATACTTGTTGAGTTCTTAAGTCATAATTCATACAAAAGCAAAAGCTTATCACCATCATTTAGGCTGGGTGATAAGTCCCATATCAAGGTTTTTTACTGCGGTGTTTCTCTAATGCAAGTTCTGTGCCATGTAAGGATTTTCAGTTTCGGAACAAAGCAACTTCAAAAGGTTCATATATTCAGATTGTTCCTACTGGATTTGTATGTTTGAGGGAGAAAAGACCCTCATCAACTTCCTCTAAATTCATCTACACAGCAGTTGCTGCTCTAACACCTGGGTCAGGAATTCTTCAGTGATTTGTGATGATCAGGGCTGCAGGCTGAACAAATCCCCCTAGTTTTTTCTATCTTACTGACGCAGTATGTAGTGTGAACAAATTCTTGTAATCTGCTACACGGCAGCATAGCCATCATATTCTGATGTAGAACTGAGGCTAAAACTTTTTATGAAAACCCATGTTATTAAGATGGCTTTATTCAATTCACTTGGCCACAACAGCTATGGGTAATTGCATCACGTCTCATGAATAAACACTATATATTTTACCATTTCCTCCAATAACCATCAGCATGACCAGCCTCAAAAGAGATATTCACTATGAATCCTTCTTAAGTATCAAAATCAGACAAACCTGCTTACAACTTCTTTTGGAGACGATGTACCCAATATTGTAATACTCTCCTCACATCCATTCATATACAATTACCATCCTATTTTTAAAGAAAAGGAAAGAACCCTTGCCCCCAACCCTAAAAATAAAGCCACCTTTCCACCTGTAACCGTTCCTAGGAGGAAAGAGGCAAATCATTCCATTACATTAGTCAGCAAAGGTCAAGTACTCCTAGCTTTTCAAAAGGGATCACTGAGGTGAGTACAAATCTATCTGAGAAAGACCAGGACCACATACCTAGTGAAGACGTTCCTGCTCGCTGCAGGAGGGTTGGACTAGATCTTTAAAGGTCCCTTCCAACGCAAACTGTTCTATGATACTGTGCATATGTGCGCGTACTTGTATCTTTATGCGCTCTACATAAAATTATTATCTTTTAATCGTTCACAAACTGGTATAGAGATTGGGTCCCTTATAGTTCATTTGGAATCTATTTAAAAAAAACACACACAGCTGTGTAACATAAACTCAAGTCACCATCAATAAAATCTTATTGTGGATTTTTGGTCAAGCATAGTACAATGGGAAGCCAACAGGTATTGCAATCGTTGTTCTCTAAGTAAGAGACAGGCAGTTACCATTTTGATCTTCCACTTCCTGTCACATCAATGTGGAAACACTTGTAATGTTTGGCCTGCGGTTTCAAAACGCAGAATGAAACAGGAAATGCCCAGGCAACCTATTTTCCCCAACTAGTACCAACACCAGTACCAAAATCTGACACTGTCTGAAAAAAGCCTCTCTCTGAAATTCTGACAAGAAAGATTTCAAGTGGCCACTCAAGACAAGAACTCAACAGTGCATCTATGAGCATCTATCAGAGCCCATATAATAGCCTTTCCAGCACTATCACAGAATCATTCAATTAGGCCAAAGGAGAAGAGTTCCTGAAATTATTTTCACCTTCAGTAGACCAGCACAGAACTGGCTGCACTCTAAAGACAGCAAAAATTTTTTTTTTTTTGTTAATTCTAAAGTTAGAAATTATTACTTGAAAGGAACACTAAGAAGGTACATAATTGTCACGTTTACTTAAAAGCTAATTTCCCGGTGACGAAAGTAATGCAAGACCAGAATATAACATTACAGAAATTTATCATGCATCTTGAGGTGAGAATCACACATTCATTGATAATACAGACAGTGATCTAGAAAAAAAATAAAAATATCAGTAGTTGGTATCAGTTAAATAAAATCCCACAATTTTAAGCACTTAGAATTTTATACTGGCTTGCATTATGCAAATTAAAACAAAATTTCAACCTAAACCCATTATCAGAATAGCCTTCTATAAAGAATACACTGTCTTTAAAATAGTTGCGATTTAGTCATTAATTAAAAAAATACACACCCATTTTTAAAGAGGTATATTGCAATATGTAGTATGTGCTATTGGCAGGAATATTTCAGGTATAACAAATAAAACATCGAAGAAAATTTATTTTTAAAATATTTTTAGATAAATTTTTCCTGTTAATACAGATAGAGCGCCTCAAACTGCTTGCTGCTCAACTACTGCATAACTTACATGAGCCTCCCTGCTACCTGTATCTTATTGCACATTCCCAAGTAAGGACAAACATTTTAAAGCCTCAATACATGCAGGAAAGTTTTTGCCACAGAAAAGCAGATTCCCAACAAACAAGAAACTTTTGTAGAGCAATTTGTGTGATATACTTAACTTTCCATACCTGAAAAACTCAAAGTTGAGACAAGCTTTTGGCAAAAAAAATTTGTCATCTTGCTTGAACCATAGTTTGCTCATAGCAGTGTCCTGTGTCAAGAAAAGAGGTTAAGTCACCTAACTTTTAACTGTAATATATTACACTATTTTAAAAAAAAGTCTCTTCACCACTTCAAATCTCAGTTTAGTGTTGTCCCCTTGAATACAGATTTTTGCTATATACATTTGTGTATACATCCATCTATCTTTACTGAGACTCTCTCTTTACTGTATGTCACTTTATCATGCAGTTAAATGGCTACAGCATTGTGAATGAGCTTATGATTAAAATGGGAACTAAATTTTCTAGGGCAGGAATGATCAAAGAAAAATAGAAAGTTCGCTTCACACAATTCCCTGCTAAACCATGCTGGCATTAAAGATGTACCATTACGGGGACAGCACTACAGCAGCGTATAGTTAAATGTTTTAGATTAAGAATATAATTATGTATTTAAGACTTTTAGTAAAAAATATTAATGTATGTTACTTTAAAATAACATTGGTAACAAAAAACACATATGCATTTAGAAAAAGTAGTAAAACTGGTGGGAAATCAGTTAAAGTATCTGTCATGTAATTTTTTTAGAATTACCTCCCAGTACAGGAAAGAATCTAAACAACCGCTCCTATTGCTTTTTCTCCCACAAAAGCTGTGAAATAGATGCTCGCTCTCTGTTTCAACTCTAGTTAACTTTATCCCCCAACGCCTATTCTTTAAATTGCTATACATATTAAGAGAGAAATTTTAAATGTAAAATTATTTCTCCTCATATTTTTGAGCAGATGTTCTTTGCTTCTCCGAGATCTGGCATGGTACTTTCCTTCTTTTTGTGTAAAAGAAATAAGTCTCATTTCTTACAGCACACCTTCCTCTACATAATACTCATATTGTCTTTTTAGACAAATTACAGCTTCTCTCCACGACAACAAAATTTTTATTCTGTTAGATTGCTACTATGCAGCTTAGAATACACCTTACATCAGGGACAGAATGATAAACAGTAGAGTCTGTCTGTAGTATTGGAGACCTGATCCAATAGCTAGAAATCGCTACCTGCAGTCCATAGTAACAATTTGGCCCTCAGGTCAAAGCCCATATCCTAACTGCCCTCTTTCCTGAGGGTTTTTCAGGGCAAGATGTGCCATTACAACAGAGGTGACCTAATGACATGCTGCCAGTGGAAATGGCCATCCTGTTCCTGCACTTATGTTCCTGTCTCTCCCTTTCTCCACAACGCTGGTCCAGTCCACAGTAAGATTGCTTAGGCATATAAAACAGCAGGAAAATTGCTTTTTTTTTGTAATCTCTGCTGATTTAGTTCTTGCAGTGTTTTGCTGTGGGGTCAGACGAATGCCAAGGCTCACAAAAGGAAAATGGCACAAGCATGCAGCTGGGGAGAAAATGAGAGGTGCAGGCAAAATAAATAATGTCTATTTCATCAAGTACAGAAGATTAAAAACATCTTCCCTCAGAAAACATATTTTAAAGGGAAAGGAAAAACTAAAACCAAATACATTTCTAAAGCAACGATGCCTTAAAGCAAAGCTTTTGTGTGCATCAATTGCTTAGTTGCTACAGAGACACCAGGACCATCAAGTTTCTGTAGCAAACCAATTAGTGTTACTTAACAGAGCCATAGTATTTGTCCCTGCTGAGGTTTAGGGTTTCAGTTCAGGATGAACATAAACATATGCTCAAAGTCTTCCTCTGTTAATAATAGTGCTTCAAGTATATACCTAAAATGCCCTGTGCAGAACAAATATATATTCCTGAAGGATGTCTTTGCACTAAAGTAGACCTGTATTAATCTAGTGTGCAAAAAGTATTCCTGAATTGAATATCCAAGCTGAAGCACAACATGTAATTGCAGAATACTTTCCCTATTTATCTTCCAACCAAGCCTAGAACAAAAGATGAGCATTAGCAAAGACAACTATGCTTTAGCAGTGAGAAGTAATTTTTAGTAAATTTTAGGTACTCAGAAAAACTGAGATTTGCTAAACATATTGAGGTCATTAAATGATGCTTCCAGGAGACTGGAGAGTGATGTTTATTTACATCTCTCTCTCCTTCTCTCTTTTTCCATGCAATCGCAAGCTTTTCTCATACATATATAGTTACCAAAGAATAGCCCTGTCTACACTCTCAAATTACTGAACACTGTTACAAAAAAAAAAAATCAAAATCCTAGAGTGGCAGTCACCCTTCTACTGACTAAACAGTTTTAATACGATTTCTATCAGTTGTTAACACACTTTCAAAAAAGAGAGTTCAAGCTGTTAGTAGATTCATTTTCACAGGAACCCAAATAGTCATAATCCAAAATTTAGCAAGAATGAACTTTGTACTCTCTTTCTAGCAATATCTTTAAGTTTTGTACTTTCTTGTTTATTATACTTGGGAATATGACATGATCTGTATTTTAAAAACACACAGGAATTAACTGCTAAGTTCCCAGAAGAATAGCTAGCAAACAGAACAAATACAGATAGCTTACCTTGACAAGGGCAGGGTACTGTGTCGCATCTTTTTCCAATGGCAAAATCTCAAAGTTAGTAGGAATGAACTCATTCTTCATTGGAAGCTTGAATTTCCCATTCAGGTCAGCATTTTGCCATTTCTAGATAAATAGGAGAAATAATGAGGTGAAGTAGAATTTCTGCTTAATTAGTGGATATATACTTATTTATTCTGTGCTGTAACAGAAGACTTAAAAATGCGTTCCGCTAGCTTATATGTAAATACTATTAAGATTACAGAGAAAGAGAGAAGTATCTGGGAAATCCAGTTGGAGTAGTCTATCAGAAGGATGAAATGCTCTTAGAAGTAAAGACAAAATTTCTACTGAAAAATTTACAGTGGACTGGAAAGCATAGGTGGTTCTATGTTTCATCTGTCATGCTACTGTGAACTCTAAATGAAGTTGTTTAACTAAATACATAAGTGAGAATTCTAATCAAGAACATACGTAAGGGACAATCTAAAGGAAGTGAAGTGTTCCTATGCAATATCTGTTCAAAACGTGCTTGGCAGGTCCAATATAGCTCTAGGATGTATTTTACAGACATCTCTTCTCAAAAGAATAGATCAATAACCAGGTTCAGTAAGAAATCGCCCACCTCCATTGCTGGAGTTTTTCTTTGTAGAAGCTCACTTAATTGGCAATATATATTCATTTTCTAGGTTGCAAAAATCAATTTCAGAAACACAATTACATACAGCAGTTGTAAAAAGATTACTTTCTTTACACACAATAGTTCATTAACATTTAATAGACACTTGTAAGTTTTAAAAAGTTAATGCTTGCATTTTTAAGTAGCCACTACATATTATGGATCTTCTATAACAAAAATGATCTAACATTCCCTGTACTTACCATGGTTTAAAATCATTAAAATGTATCTGTCCTATGTAATAAATATTTGAAATCTGAAGACTAACATAAGATCCTTACTTCTCATAATAGTAACAGACTCAATTGTACAATTTTCATGCTATGTAGACCAGCAGATTTAAGTTCTCCCCTCAACTAAACGGAAAATTAGACCAAAAAAATTTACCACCGTCTTTCACTTGCAGATCTTAGAATATATTAAAAGTTTTAACATGCCTTAATAACTTCATCAGAAATTGCTTCTTGCTTGTACTGTGTTCCATACCAGTCTTCTGTTCGATCAGTTTTTCCTTCAAAAGACTTGGAAACAATTGCAACCCTGAAAACAAAGAGAAACCACTTTGACATGAATATGCCTGAGAAAAGACTATGAGAAATTATGCAGAGCACTATTTCTGTTCCACCACTAGAATGCATTTATTTCTGGAAATGGTCCCTGGACAATTACAAGTACATATGGATAGTGAGTATACATATACCGAACTATGCATTAAGGTTAACCACAACATTGGGTTATCAGCATAATTTAATTTTACTGTTTTTCTGAAGTGTTACAATCTAGAGTTACACACAATTACTGTTGCATGCAGTTTCTGTTTTTTAGACTTTGTCCTTGTTCCAGAAAACACAGAAAGCAGTCCTTGAGATTTTCTACAAAGTTAATGAAGTGACTATAACATTTTTTTGTACCACCTGTAATCAAAACTCAGGTAAGTGGAAACACCAACTATAGAAATTTTACTCCAGATCTAATGTTTTAGATTATGTTATTGCAGTTTCACTCCCCCATTCACAATTATTTTCTATGATTTTCATGTTCTCATTTCAGATTCAAACCTGTTTCCATCCTGGGTTTTTTTTGTTTGGTTTGCGGGTTTTTTGAGGGAAAGGGAAGAAAAGCAGAAAGATTAATGTATTTTACAACAGAATTATACTCAATTAGAAATCTCAAATTGGAAAGGACACATAAGGATCATTGAATCCTACTCCCTGCTTCTCACAGGACTACCTAAAACTAAACCATATGACTAAAAGGCATCGTCCAGATAGTCCTCAAACTAAAGAATCCACCTAAATAAGAGGAAATCCAGAATAAAGAAAACAACAAACTTAGTATTATTTCAGTAGTCTTCATAATAAGTATCAAGAAAACTCCTTTCATTCTTTTTAACAACCTACATCACACAAGAGTATTCAATGCAAATAAGTAGCTTTAAGAGTAAACAAATGTTTATAAGAATTCTGAAATGGCCAAAAAAGGTAGCACAATTACCTCCTACATCTATTTAACAATCTCTAGATGCTGAATAGCACAGTAACAGACTTTGTCAAGTCTTGTGCAGATGGCTAAAATGCATATTAAAACAACAAAATATATGCAATGTAAGTGTTCTTTTTTTAATCACAATATCTTCAGGCCACGAACATTCTGTTGTGTATTTCTAATATGCCAGGCAAAGTGGGGCATAAATCAAAACAGGCATATGTATGTGCCTCAAACTACAGTATTTTTACTTTACAGATATGTTGCTAGAGCATACCCTTGGGATTAATTTTGCAATACACTGAAAAGTTAAAGTATGTGGACTATTAATATTGTAAATGCCTATGACTTCATCCCTCCTTTTTCATCTGATGTTTACACATGACTAAATGATCCAAGAAGGTTGAAGAAAACAGGATTCTGCTGTATTTAGTTCTAGACTCCCCTATTATGAAGGTTTTCAAATTACTAATAATTTAATCTGTGCTTTGGAGTTTGAGTAGCAGGAGAACAATGGCGTACATAGCTATCATTAGGTGTATTTAAATAAATGAGAAGTACATTTCAGAGTCACGTGGGATTGTAAAGAAACATTCTCTAGCAATAGATTAAAAAATCAAAGAAGGACTTGTACCACAGACTGTCTAATTTTGAGACAATATTTTAAATCATACACACTAAAGAGGTGCAATCAAATGTTATGTTTCAGGGATGCAGATTTCCTCTGGGCTGAGGAAGGGAGAAATTTTTACTCCCCACCTTTGAAAGAACCACATGATCAGCATGAACACGCACATACCTACACGTGCACAAAACAACCCCTGCTGCTCTGCAGAAGTTATGCAATATTCAAACCAGAACAAGAATATTCATCTTTAGGAGATACATATTTCATCTCTTATAGGAAATGGCAATAGAAATAGTTAACATTTTTACTGTGACTTCATATAAAATGGCTTCATATCTGTATGTTATATCTATTTCATTTTTTATAAAAAAGGAACAATACTAAATAAATATTCAGGAAAGAACTAAGCACTTTAATCCTAGGCAGTATTTGTACAGCAGACACTAGCTCGGTCAACAAGGTGAAATCTATTAGAGAGATTGTTGTTTATGTTAAAATGAGCCATAAGAGTATTCTATTATGTTTTGCATTTTAACTTGGACACCTGGTGAGCAAAAGCTTTACCATGTACAGATGAAGTTGCTAAGGGACTATAAAAACTATAAAGTTTATTAGAATTTCAAAGCAACCTACCATGCCTTTCCACCCATTGAAGAAAAAAGTCTTAAGCTAAAAGATTATCCTGATAAAATTTCAATAATCATGCAGTCCGACCAGCAAGACAAAGGTGTTTTATGCTATAATACACAGATGTCTTATTTGACATTCCCTCTTTCTACCCTTCTCCAACCTACCGATGCTCAAGCAGTAGTGATAATCCAAGCACCCAAATATTTGCTGTAGGAACATACTAAAACTAAAGAGCAAAAAATAATTCTGTCCACTCAACATAGAGAAAATGAAATTGTGGAAATCAGGATAGCAATTCTTCAAGCAGTCCTGCTACAAGGGATCTTCCTGCCCCCCCTATCCCACAAATCACTATTGAAATGATTACTTATGCTTTGAGCACTCAGAAACATTCCCACCACCACGTGAAACACACCAAAAGGCATTTCATCTGCCTTACAACCTAACCCAAGATATAAGCACTAACAGAAATGACCACCAGGACAGATGCATCTTTAAAGTTACCAATTATGTAACACTAGTTTTGCTCTTCATTTCTGTGTTGTGCTGTATAGCACTATGAACATCCACATGGTTTAAGACAGCATTGAAATGCACTGGAAAAGCAAGACAGGCAATCAGGCAATCTTTAATAGGACCTGCTTATAACGTATTTAAACTCAACCAGTGCAATTAGGCTTCTGAGCCATTCAGGAACATGGAACACAGCTGGAACTATAAATGCAATTTACTTCTATATGTACATTCTTGTACATGCAAACTGTTGTAGTCCTCACTTATGGTCAATTTCCAAAAACAAGCACAATTTCTATAATGTGATACATATTTACTAGATACCATCTTGGTTTTCACTCCCCTGAAATCTAGTATGAACCTACAAGTGACAGATCCACAGAAAAGTGTTATTTGGGAAGAGAATGTGTGCTTTAAAATGAATGCACTTTCAGGAAAGACTATCGGCTATTATATTGTAGATTTACATAACAAAGCTCAAGCTTCTAAGGGTGAAAAAGTAATAAGACTTTGAGACCACAGTATTTGTGATATTAGTGATAGACATGTCAAAGCAAATTTGTTGCAAAAAAAATTGATTTATACTTAAAAAGGAACAGTTGATTTTTTTTTTTTTTAGGAACGAATTTAAACTTTGTCTTCCAAATGATGATACTGTCAAACAACAGAAAAAGTTACATGTATCTTATTCAAATGCATAAAATACCATGACTGAGAGAACTGCAAAAGCCTAGATTTGTTTGTAACTTCCCCCAAAACCATCAGCAAAACTGATGAGAGGCAATATAAGCTCTTCAAAGCCACTTCCACATAAATCTCATCAGAAAACGGATTAAGAGGGGAAACTACATGCAGAGAGATGCTGCTGGGGTGCAGCATTCTAATCACTCTGCAGAAGCATGGGTTATTTGTTAGGGTTCAGTAAAACTAAGTCTCTACTAACACAATGGTTTGTGGGGGAAATAAGTGAACAAATTGTGATTTTCAAAATCTTTACTTGGATACAGTGCAATTACAAAATAAACATATACATGTTTATCATCATGGATGAGCATCCCTGACTACATGAAATAACTGTTTGCTCAGTATCTGTGAAATTCCAGCCCTTAGAAATTTCTGTATCAACTTTTTTGGCATTCATTTTCTTTTTCTTCCCTTTAGGACAGTACTAGTGCTGCATTTCAGAGAGGAAAAAAGTCCATTTACTATCCAGGGGAAAATGTTCTTTAGTTGCTTGATCTGATGAGTCACAAGCTTCTTAAATTTTAATAAGAGCATTTATTCTGCAGATGATGAAGGGAAAAAAAATTGTATTGGAAGTGACGGGAAAATTACATTTTTCAGCTAAGATTGCAACATATGCCAAGCCTACTCCCTTATCTTCACAGATGGCTGGCAAAACCCCATGCAGTTTGAAAAAGTAAAAATGATACTTACATCTTAAAAAGGTTTCTCTCTTAGGGAAATTAAGCCACTAAACGCAACAAGTAGTGTGCGGGGGCAGAAGGGAGGAGGAGAATATGAAAACTTCCTGTTATGGTTCAGTCAAATAGAAGCACATATGGATACTTGCTACCATCTGTTGAGTATGGATATTTCTCCATACTTTTTAAAAACACAGTTTGTTAAGAAAATAACAGTTGAAAAGTTAAACTTTTTAAAAAGACATTGAACAGTAGTCTCTGACTGCTCTGACTGTGAATGCAGCTACCGCAATATAGATATGCCAAGAAAAGTCCTTAGTGTAGGTGAATTCCAATAGGGTTATGAAAAGGAAATTATAAATAAAACAATGATACAAAGGAAAAATTCAGATCAATGGAAACTAAATCATTGCGAGAGACAATTTATGCAAGGCATAAAAAGAAGGAAAAAAAACCAACAAAACAGGAAAATAAACCAACAGGCAAAGTTAGGATGATGTGGCACATACTAATTCTTTCATAAAAAGGAGGAATAGAAAGGTAAACATGAGCATAAATACCAGGCAGTGGTGGATAACCATATTTAAAAGCACATGTCCACAGTTTTTCATTAGTATATACAATTCACTGAAGCAAAGACAAAAGAAGGAAACAAGCTACTCAACTGATAGTTTACTACATGCATATAGATATAGATGTAATAAAAAACATAAAACAAAAGGGGACCCTTTTATTAGCATCTACAATCTCAACTCGTTCTTTCAAAAGCGCCCATTAAAAATGCAATTCCACAGTGGCTTTCTGGAATCTTTGTAACATACCATGAAATTATTTTTAGTAATATTTAACTCAGGTTTGCT